ACTGTGTTCAGTTCTGAGTCCCTCACTGCAAGAAAGACATTGAGGCCCTAGAGTGTGTCCAGAGAAGGGCAACAAAGCCGGTTAAGGATCTGGAGCGCAAGCCTTACAAGGAGCAGCTGAGGGAGATGGGATTATTTAGTCTGTAAGAGGCTCAGGGGAGACCTTACCACTCTCCTGAAGGGAGACTGTGGTGAGGTGGGGGTTGGCCTCTCCTGTGTAACTACTGATAGGACAAGAGGGAATGGTCTCAAGTTGCACCAGGGGAAGCTGAGGTTGGACGTTAGGAAAAGCTTCTCAGAAAGAGTGGTCAGGTGCTGGCACAAGCTGCCAGGAACAGGATCGTGGAATCGCCGAACTTGGAGGTGTCCAAGAATCATTTAGATGTTGTACTGATGGACATGATTCAGTGGGAAATATTGGTGATAGGTGGATGGTTGGACTGGGTGATGTTGGAGGTCTTTTCTAACCTTGGTGATTTCACAGTTCTACTCCATATATTCTATGATTTCAACAACAACAAAAAAAAAATAGTATGAGTAAATGGTTGTTAAGATTGAACAAAATTGTACCAGAGAGCAGTATCCTTCTCTGCTCATTTAAAAACTTGAAGGGCAAGACAACCTTCTGTAACAAGCAGAATTAAGAATGACACAGACAGGCTTGAGCTCTGAGAAGGATAAAGTCTCCCACACACACCACTCTGCTGGGGACTGACAAGCCAGTCTGAATTTGTCGCTTCTGTGGTTTCAGCTACTGTCCAGGCAGAAAGAAGCAAATGCTTAGGGCAACTGCGTAAACCCACACAGTTGTTCTTTATTGGAACTGTTAAAACTGGAAGATTCATTCAGTTTCACCAACAATATATGAAAAATGGAACAGACAACAAACAGAACAATAGCACATACACAATGCATAGGAAAAACCTTCAGAACGTTGGGGAAAAAAAAGTGGCATAAAAACGACAGTGTCACAGAACGGTGACCTCAAAGTGAATGAGTGATGATGACCATAGATCATAGAAACACAGAATGGCCTGGGTTGAAAAGGACCATAATGCTCATCTAGTTTCAACTCCCTGCTATGTGCAGGGTTGCCAACCACCAGACCAGGCTGCCCACACCCAGCCTGGCCTTGAATGTCTCCAGGGATGTGGCATCCACAGCCTCCTCAGGCAACCTGTTCCAGTGTGTCACCACCCTCTGTATAAAAATAGGTAAGAGACGACACCTGGTGAAAAGACTCATAGAGGTACTACCCTAAGTAGTGATAACAGAAATGGCACAAATTAAGATGAGGAAAGAGTAAGACTGCCTTCAGCCAGGGAACCGCTTCAGACTTCAATTCTAAAACCAGTAATGAGAAGATACACAGCCTGGACAGAAAGCCCAATGCTTCACATTCTTCTACTGGCAGCAAAGTCACTAAAGAAATTCAATAAAGTGCAACACATCACATCACCATAAACAAAGAATAGATCTAAAATTAATATGGGTGCAAACAAGGATTATTAGTTTCTCAGCTTCATTATTTTGGATTATTGTTGTCTTCCTCCTAGGAGCCACAGTTAAATACAAGCACTGCATGATGTTCATAGTGCAACATACTAACATTTTTGCTGATATTTTTTGGGAGGGCAGAGGGGTTCAGTTTAACCACATGCAGGCAGAGTCTGAAGGTATCACTAAAATGCTGGTATTGTGAAGAGATAAATCAAAAGATTACCAATTCATGCACTGCATTAGAAGAAAGAAGAAAGGTAATTTGTTTGTGCATATATTAACACAAGTACCAAATAAAACATTCAGAACAAAAGAAATCATTGAAATGGCAACATTTGTATTTACCAACCTAAATATGATTCAACCAACAAAACCCCCACAACCGAAAGATCAAGGAGTAAATTTTCAGGTCAGGTACTCATATTAACAACTGGACATGAAAAGGAGAAACCTCTAGCCAAAAAATCCATGCACACCTCTTGGTCAGACAAGGGACACAGAGCTTGGCTAACATTCTATATAGTGACTGCAAAGGATGAATTGTTCAAATTCAATTTAAGCCGTAATAAAACTGCAGAGCAATGCCAGAGGCATGTGAAGAAGCACATATGCTGCCTTCCTCCCATGACTTACTAAGATACTATTAGGCAGCCACTGTATCAGGCTTTCTTGCAGTCAGACACGCAATTAATACACGCAGAGATCCCTCTGAGCTCATAGCCATTCTGAATACTGCTAGTGTATTGAATGCACTGGCTCAACTCAAGGCCCAGAGGTCAGCAAAAATCAGTTCTCACTCATTTCCTCTCTTCTGTTGCACACAAGGATTCCTATCAAACCACACTTATTGGTATTTATCTTCCTCGGGAAAAAAAATACCTCAAGAACCACATGTAGGACAGCCTTCAGCCAAAGACAGAGAATTCTCAGCAAGCATGCATCGCAAAAATTGCTCAGCGCCTTCCACGTCAGAAGTCTATTTGTTTTTACTTCTGTGGTTAGCACCATGGAACACCCAGACACTGAAATAGGATTAAGCACTGTTACGCTCACTGCTAGATATGAACACGTGACTTGTACCCTAAGGAGCTTGCATTGAGTCAGCAGAGCTCTGCGCACCAGGCAGGCAGGGCCGTGTGGGCTGAGCTGCGCTGCACTGCCCGACCTCAGCCAGCACTGTGCTTTTACTGAGAACACGTATGCCACAACTGCCATTACATCTGTAATGATACAAAAGTTATCCGAGTGGTTGGCTCTTTGTTAGCAGTCATCGCAGTTCAGACACTTCAAGTGAGAAGGAATTGGTGTGAGTTCTTTATTTTCTTCCTTTGCTCTGAGGCTGCCCTTAACTTTTGTTTTGTCTCAATTCATTCACAATATGCCATGGGCTTCACACTGAGAGCTCCAAAACTAGCACTAAAAATACTGCATTAATTCCTGTCATTACTTCATCTGTAACAATCTGGTGTTTCTGCACACATGATAAGCACTACACGAAAGCCACAAGCAGCAGGAAGAGGATTCTGCAGAAGGAGCAAGCTAAAGCAGACAGACAGTAGAATGAGTTATGGACACTGGTTCTGTCAGACCCCCAGCAGTGTGTTTCTTGACTGTTTTGTTTTCTGTCTTACTTACATTGTCAGATTACCATCAGCACCCACGTCTCTTAACCCTGTTGGCAGGCAGGGCAAATTATTCTAAGGCAATTAAAATACATCTGTCAGTGTTAATTTCTCTGTCAGCAGAATACAGACAAGTACCCACAACGTTACATACACAACAGCTCCTCATCCTTCAGACAGACAAGGAACTAGAGCAATAATGCAATAATTTCAGGCACAGTATAGGAAGATTCACATACTGGTACCACATGTGGCAGCTGCATGCAACTAAAAGCAATGCCTGTCCCCACTTTGTAAATTCAGTGGCAGAAGTGCGGCATTAAAACCCCACATCTCAAAGAGCTGAGAAACAAATCAAAGTTAATCCTAAAGTGCATCAGCTGCAAAAGGAGGGAAACCTTCCTGTTGGAAATGGAGTTCCTATATGAATTACTTAGAGTACTGTTTGTAACTGAAAATTCATTTTTCTAAATAGAAACTGTAAGATCCAAGACTATCACAAGAACAGCACATTTCACCCTAGAGAGCATGCAACAAAATTTATAGCATGCAATAAGCAAAGGAAAGACTATTAGATATACATGCATAGGTGCTCTAATTAGACCCAATTCTTTAAGATTATATACATGCTTTCAAAAGTAAGTGAGCTGGCTGCACGCACACTGTTGCGACAAGCTAACCCCATTACAGCTCAGCATCACTTCCTGCCCTCAGTGACCATGCAGCAGTGTCAGCCTGACCACAGCTGCTCAGCAGCACCTCAGAGCACAGTGTGTACCTACACCTGCACAGAGAGCATTTCCCTTCCCTACAGTTCCCCTCCCAGCTTCCAGACCTGGGTCCTGTGCAAAGCAAACAGGATAGTTGGAGCCTAACGCAGAGTGTGGCTGTGTGGCTGGACATCAGAGCAAGGATAAAGGCGATGTGGGATTGGGAACTCTGCTGGTCAGTCACTGCTAGGAATAAAAATAATAATTATTGTAGTGATAAAGTGAAGCTCATGGAAATTGGAGCTGTGGTTACCTATGCCTTCATACAAAATACCAATGCTTTAAGCACATGAACCAGACTTAGAAAAGGAGAACTCTGTAAGAGTTCTCAATGAGAGCCAAGGGATGAAGCCACAACAACCTGTGTCCCTTCTTGGGTTTGTTACAAGCATTAGAGCTCAGGAAAATCACGGGGCATACAAATCATCCCACGAGGAAGGAGTGCACTCGTTAAGTGCCCTCTCACCAGCCATTCCACATCTCCTAGTAAAAACAAACCAGCAAGTGCTGGGGAATAATTCCAAACGGCTTCAAGTAACGGAGTATTTAAAGCTCAAACAGCTTAACTCGCCCTCAAACGGACATTTCATCAACTCAGCGCCATCCTGAAGCGCCTGGATTTAATTAACCTATTTTCTTGAGACGCGGGCAGGAAAGAAAATAAATAAATAACAGCGACAGCCCTTCTTCCTCGTGCCGAGCAGCGCACACAGCGGGGCAGAACCGCCAACACGGGTGGACCCCGGCGGCAGCCCCCGGCGGAGCGCGGCGGCAGCGGGACGGGAGCGGGGCCGCGTGCTAGGAACCGCGCTCGCTTCGGCGCCTCATCCGGAGTCAGCCCCAGCTCACAGCTAACGCGCACGGAGCGCGCCGGGAGCGAAACACAGAGCGAGAACCCTCCGGAGCAGGGAACAGATTTTTGCTTAAGCGGCACGCCGCCCCGAGAAGTGCAGCCGGAGACGTCGGAGGACCGCGGGGTTATCCACGGTGCGCGGCTCCCGCTGCCCTTCGGACGGTGCCCGACTCCTCAGCCCACGCAGCCCCGCCGCCAAGTCCGCCCGCCCGCGCCTCCCGCCCTGCCCCGGAGCCTACCTGAGCCCCACACCTACCGGCCCCAGGGAAGAAGGAGGACAGAAGGAGTCGGCGGGAGCAGCGACCACGAGCACAAAGCACGACCCTAACAACGCCGGGAAGAGCAGGAGCGCGGAAAGCGGCACCGCACCTCAGCACGCCAGCTCGGCTTCGCGGGGCCGAACCCGAGCGGGGCCGGGACCGCCGCTCTGGATTGACAGCCGCCTCGGCCAACGGGAAGATCGCATTCGCCTTCCTCCTCCTGCCCGCGAGGGGCGTTATTACCGCCCGGCCGTTGAGGGCGAGGGTGTTTCCATGACGTCACGGGCGGCGCCTCGCGGCCAGGTGGGGCGGGCTGCGCCGAGGGGATGCGGGGACGGCGAGCGGGATCGCCGTGCTAAGTCGGAGCTGAGCCCCGCGGCCGGGACGGGCGGGACAGGGCAGGGCAGGGCAGGGCAGGGCAGGGCATACTGCGCGCCCCTGGGGTGAGGGACGGAGCTAATCCAACCGCGGCTTTAGGGCGGGCTCCGCGCTGAGGGATTGGCGGCTGCCTCAGCCGTCCTTCGCCCGCGGTGCGCTGAGAAGAAGCGTGGGGTGGGGAGCGCCGCCCCAGGGCGGACTTCACTCACACGCGCTGCCGTCCTACCGTGAGCCCTGCCCTGAGAAACCCCCTCGGAAAGAAACGTCTCCGACGAGCAAAGAGCTCTGCGCTGCTAGGAGCGGACGTGCATGTTTAGCGTTCCTGTGTTTAGTGCAGCGGAAGGCATGGGCTAAACGTAGCTCTGGGATGCAGTTACACCGGGAAGCAATTTAATTTTTCTGTAGATTTGCTTCTTGCGCTTTTGTTCCGTTCTCCTGTTGGATAGAAACATGAAGCTGTATTGAATTAGCGTATTTTCCCGGGCTAAGGGAAAGTTTAACAATAAATTAGTAGGCATGGGACGGTTTGGGACCGTGCTTCTTTCCGTTAGAGAAATCAAAGTGCAGAGAAATAGTGTCAGTGTTTCAGTATGGCAAAATACAAGACGGTTGCATGCATCAGGGTAAATGTATAGGCAGAAAGTCTCTGTGTGGATGTAGATCGGTGTTTTTCCCTTTCAATAGATCCATCAACACAAAGCCATCCGGTCTATAATAGTTTTCTTTTAAAAAGTGGTGAGGGTGTTCCCCAGCCCTGTGCACTTAACCTTCCATTTATCCTTGCGCTTTGGTTTTTCTGTTCTGATTGATACAGCTTCAGTCTTTCCAGCGCTTTTAAGAAGACAAACTCCACTCTGCAATCCAGCAGTTATTATTATTTTTTTTAATTCAGTTCCCCTTTGATCTAATGTAATGCATAATTAAATGGTGTGGTCTGAATTAAAACTCCACCATTACACCAAAACTCCACCAAGTGTGTTCTTTTAACTTGCTCTTTCCTGTGGTTTTGTAATGTCAATTCACAGTAGTGTTTCCAGTGAGTGCAACAAAAATAATTGCCTTTGCTTTCCACTTGTTTTCTTTAATTATTAGGTGAAAATAATTACTATATCTATATTGAACTCAATGACATGCAATGATTTTTCATGTTCAGGCAATCTTAGTCTTGTGTTGGTGAACAAGTACCCACACCATGTGTATAGACCAGAGAGAGGCTTGTTGTAAGAGACAAATTACATCCTAGAATTTGAATTGAACAACTGAAACAAATCTTTTGAAGACCTTCTACAGGTCTACAGTGTTCTACAGTGTCTGAGGTGTGAGCAGCAGTAGAATTGTGTGCATAGTCCTAGACAGGAGCTATCTGTCTTGCAATTTAGCAATATCTTTTCTTGTCTGCCAAAATAAATCTGTCCTTCTATCCTTGGTACCTTTCCTTTTCCACCAGCCCTCTCCATCATGTCATTTTTGTTCTTAATCCTGTATTTTATTTTATTTTTTTTCCTTTCCCTCAAAGACCACTCAAGAACCTTCTCTCCCTCTGACAATTTTTTTGGCAAACACCACTGTTGTCCTGTTGCATATCCTGGCTGGTATTGTGCCAGAAGCTTGCACTAGGTTTTGTATGCCTTACTTATCTATCATGTCACTTGATGTCACATGACACTGTATGTCACTTATCTGTCATCTCCCTAATCTGCCTAGCCCTCTTTTAACATATCTGTAGACTCTGGTCCCTCTTTCCTGGCTCTTGTATTTCCCAGCCAGAATTCTCCTGGTTAAGCTACCTTTGGAATGCTTTTGAATACCTCTGAGGTGCAAAGTTTTCCTCTCAGGTGCCTGATGCTGCAGTGCTCATGTGAAAGCATCTCACCTCTGCTGCACATTTCATGAATTGCTGCAAATACTTGTAGAGATCTCAATTCTGCCTTTCATTTGCCTCGTGGCAAGAGCTCAGGGAAAACAGACTCTTGTCCCACCAACTCTCTTTTTCACAAGAGGCTCAACTGGCTCCAGTTTACTCATTCAGAGCAGGAAGATTACAGACTTTGTATGTCGGTAAAGCAGATGTGTGGCCAGAAGTTAGTCGAAAAAGAAAGGAGAAAAACCAAAAAGGAATGAGTGTCCACCAGCCTGGCACACAGCAAGGAATTATCCCAGGAGACAGTGAAGAACGTAAGCAGCGGTTCCTTCTACCATACCAAAACTACTCTTCAATAGAGTTCCTGTGCCAAATTGTCAGAAGATATCTGCTCTATCCCCAAAGTTACAAAGCAAGGGTAGGGTGAAACAGGCAGCACAGATTTGCTCTGGCTGCAGTGACCGTGCATGGGGTGTGCTTGCTGAGTAATGTGACCCATTGTAGCTATACAGCTTTTTTCCACAGCACTGCTAATCCACTCCTGGAAGGCATCGAAACGCACCAAATAAGTAAAGAAGGCTTGCATCTGAAGTCCTTGGATTGCTTTTGTTTGTTTACAAGTAAAAACTGCAGACTTTGGAGAACCCTGCCTTTGCGTATGTGTTTGTGTAGCTGCTGCCTCAGTAAGCATCCATAGATTTGGAAATAGTTGAATTCCAAATAGTAACATTCATCACTAGTACTAAATGTGAATTTCCTGCTGTTGATTTGTCAGTTCCATCCAGCTTCAGGGGAATGAGAGGACCCAGCTGTGAGTCTAGCTCCCAGGCTTACTGCAGTTGAGGGCCAGCTTGTGAATGTCAGCTGGTTACGTGTGATGAATGCGTGAATCTAACACCCAAACCACTGGAGAAGCAGGGAGTTAAGAAATCACTAAGCTTCCACTTCACACAGACAAGGACATGCAACTTTGATATTGACTTGGAAATAGTTAAAGAGAACTCCAAGGTTTTCAAGACAGTGTTTTCCTTTAAGGATAGAAACTAAACAAATTTGCCATTTAAGATTCTGGATTTGACAGTCCAGTACTGGTTTAATACATGCCAGACAGTGTTTTATAACATTTATCTTCCTCCCCCTGATTGCTGACTATTACTCATTATTCCAAGTATTCTTGGATTTTAGTATTTATCTAAAATGCAATCGGATGGAAAAAATGTTGTATTTTTTCCATATTATTTAAGGCAGAAAATACCAAAGTACATAAAAGTTTGCTATTTTCAGCAAGTATATTTGCAGAGACGTGATATGGATCTCTGCAGAATCTAGCATCCAGATGCTATTCAGTTGGAAAAGAAGTCCATAAAGCTATTGAAAAACAATTTCAGTGCAAGCTAGGCTATAGTGTCCTTCCTACTGATGCAAGCTTATTTAGCTCAGGTTGCCAGCAAGTAGGAGAGACGGAAACCTCCTGTGGGGCAGAAGGGATTAGCAGAGAGATCCCAACACTCATTGCCCTTTTCCCTTTATAAGTTTTATGCTATTGCAGAGGGAAGACTTGATGTATTTGTCATTGCAGCCAGAGTTTCTACTTACTTTGCTGGGCTCTGGGTGAGGCCCAGGCACTCCTTGTGTTATTCTTTCTCTTTTAGCTTTTGCACATAGTATTGCACACTTCAAGGCCAGAGCCTGGATTGTCCTCTTTGTTATTCTCCTGTTGAGAATAGGATCCACATTCTCTTTCTACTTTGGTTCCATTCGCTTTTTCCTTTTAATACATATAACAGGGGAAAAAAAAGTCACGACTTCAAGGCCCAGTAATTGCTGATATTGAATACTTTGATTCTTTCAGGACTATGAAGGGCACTGAATATATCTGGAAGGCTGTAGACAGATGCCTATGTATGTCATTTAGAAGGGAAAATAAATGATGTTCAAACCTTGTAAAATGTACCTAGCCAGCAATGTTTCCTGCCAGCATAGGTGACATTTTCCATTGTGTAAACTCCTTGAAGATGCTAACACTTCATTTGAGTGCACATGATATTGGGAAAGGTTCCATTATGGCAGTAACAAGCACAACCCTAAAAACATGTACAAGTCCAGTTACAGACATTAAGCTTGTTAGCAAACAGTTATTGCCTACAGATGGATTGGAGGAACAGAGAGCAACGCTCCTCACAGACACTTGAAAGTCAGACTTCTGGCTTCCAGCCAAAGAGCTGCTCCAGAGCCTTTCTCCTGCCATGCTCAGGCAGTCTCCCAGTTGTCAGAACAGGCACTGGTTCCGCCAGCTTGTGCCTGTTGATGGTATGCATGCCTGCACCTCAGTAAATGGTTAATGTACCTATCTAATGTGGTAGCTCTTAGATATACGTAGGTAAGAATTTCACTAGAGAGTTGAAAGCATGCCTGTTGCTGGTGTGTGAATTGACTGCATTTTGCATCAGGCGTTTTCTAAACAGAAAAGCTATTCATTCTAGCTGCCAGGTTTCAGTGGGGAAAAGCTAAGCAGATTCAGTTCTGCTGATGTACACAATAGCAATACCTTCTTTTTCTGTATCACTGCCATTAGTGTCAGGGTCTGAATTTTAAAACAATTCAGGTGTGTGCAAATATGGGTTATTTCCCATTTTCCCCGCTGGCAGCAGACCTTATTTGACAGAAAAATACATCTTCACAGACATTGTACACCGGACTCAACACAAAAGCCAGTAAGTTCACACAGGTGTTTTTGTTATGTTTTATCTTGTATTATTTTGTGCCAAAGGCTAGTGCCTTTGCTAACAGGCAGAAGTGATGTCCAGGAAACAAAATCTTCACCTTAATATAGAATAGCTTTATAGTTCCAGGCAGCTGCCTCAGACCAGATGCAGAGCTGTTGAAATC